TCTCTGTCATGTGTGTTACATGTTCAACCCATCCCATGAACACTGATGCAATGGGTGCACAATTTGCCGTGCCCTGACCCACGGGGTTTATCTCTGGTTTCTGACGAGGGCTGCCCTGGTGGGATTTGTGGTGGAAAGAGGAGCAGTGGGGCAGGGTTTCTGAGAGTATATGTTTCCCCTGCTAATTCTCATCCCACTAAGTATTCTGCATCTGCCATCGATCATGAGGGGCTGGAGCAAAGGGCCTAAGCACCAAGGGACTTGATGTCACCCCACCCTGAGGATAGAAGACAAGGGAACTAGCCATTGCAGAATCGATCGGGGAGTCGCGTCATTCAAAGAAGACTCCATATTCTGAAGATGAAGAGGCCAGGCGAGCTTTGTCCGGGCGGATTACGACTCCAACAATAGACACCCAGCGAGTTGTTGCCATAGCTACTCTTGCGGAACAAAAGACTGTAGATGTGCGTAATTTTCCCGCTTTGGACTTGAGGTTTTAGTGCGGCTCAGAGTACAGTTTCCTATTAAGTTCGCGTTGAAATTGAGTTTCACGAGTCAGTAGATCACTAAACGGCTGATGGAATTAAATCCGACACAGTTGTCTGTTATCAGAAATCGAACAAGTCAGATCTTTATGATTTACGAACCAGAGTGCGTCATGACTTACATAGGCAACCTAGCAACAATTTTTCTATGTTTTGTTATTGCCTGTCTCATCTCTGGGAAGCCGTATCGGTTTCTCTCCTACCCTCTCGAGTAATCCCTCCAGATTTCTGTTCTCCATGTAATGATGTGTTTGCATTTGCAGACAAAGGGCAGCGCTCTGCTTGAATGGACTGTATTTCCATTGCCTGATCGTGTTCAGTTCTGTGTGTGGGTTGGAAGTGAAGATGCTGACGTGTCCGCCGCGGTTCAGAGAGTGCGCTGAGAGCGGATATCAGGAAAAGCGCTCCGGGGAATTTGCTGCGTATCGGTGGCTGTGGTTAGTTAGCAGAGGGCTGTGTTCCCAAATGGACCTTGAGTCCTGCCACTTAGAGTCACGTGTCGCATACAGGGGCTGGAGGCGGTGCATTCTAACAGCCCTCAAAGGCGCGCTTTGCCCTATCCAGGACGTCGTGACGGGGAAATCGAGAATTGGCTCATCGCATTGTTGCGAAATTCTTTACAAAATGGGAATACATGGCATTGCCTTCGAACTTTTGCAATAGCTTTCATTCGATGAATATTAGGCTCGCTGAACTTTAATTGGCAAAAGGAGACCCAAAATAATGCCCATCCCTGCTAGGTTGTAGTAAGAAAAAGACCGACGTTTCGGTTATAACTTATTACTGATTATTGTAAGAAACGCAACAGATCAGCAGCATTTTTGTAAAATAGAACTGAATGTATGTTGGCAGTCAGAGAGATCTGAAGTTTCTTTGGACTCGGTTAATAATATTTGAGGTCTGTGTATGGTCCTGTGTATATACGAACAATATCATATATGTATATTGCACATAGACAAAATCTAACGGTGAGATCAAAGCTCTGAAGTTAAGCAATTTCAGTTAGTATAGCAACGAACTGTGGACCATAAAGAAAATGCAGCAGCTAAGTTATACAGTAGGTCACAAAGGAGCCCGCAGTCATCGTGTCTATTATGTGATATGTGGGAAGTGCACTGTTGTCCTCTGTGTTCGGTGGCGGGCTGTGCTCAACACGTAATGTATCTTCTGGTTCCATAACAAGGTAGAGTTTCTTTACTACCTGAGCGAGTATCAGCTTCTGAAGAAGGCATCTTCTGTGTCGAGTAAGTGACGCAAATCTATATATATCCTACGCAGTTAATTGTAATGTCTGTTGAAAATTCAGTGTTGTTTCGTCATTTGTTCGGCTATATGAACTTCTGTTCTATAATTTCCTTTTCTGCCTTCTCCCAGGTTCCTTCCAGTTCTTCTTTATTCGTCCGTCTTGTTGTCGTCCTTATCCCCCTTCTTTCCTCCCGCCACCTTTCTCCTTTACAGTTTCGTCAACTTTATTCGAAACGTGTCATTTCTTCGCATTTCGATGCGAAAAGAGTTATAGTAAAGGTGTGAGAGAGAGAGAGAGAGCGCGTTTACGCCTGGTTTCCATGGAAACTGCGTAATTACGACATGGCGACAAACAGCAAAGCATTGCGCGGCTCAGGCTAATTATGTAACAACTCGTGTATATCTGTCGAGCGGAAATCTCAGGGGCTGTGCTGCTAATGGAGCGTTGCACTAGTCACTTTTCGCTGACTGAAACAGTGGAGCCTTCGGGGTGAAGGGGAGGTAAACATAATGTATTTTTCCGCTGGGTCTTTGAAAGAATGGTTGAAACTGAAGAAAAGAAGGAAATATACCGAATATTAACCATTTAACGTCCAGTGGTAACCATATGTACCACTTGCTACAACAAATTAAAATCCCGCATTCTGCCCACGGTATGTATATATATATATATGTTCCGTGTGGTTCTCACAGTAAATAGCATTAACCGGCTGGGCTTTGTAGTGGTGACGTAATTTTAGAGAAAATTCCCACTTCGATCCTCCTGTCAGCTGACCCTTGCTTTTCTAGCCGCCCCACCTGAGCACTGAAACTGGCGCTGTTTGATTCCCGTCGCCACAGCGAAGTGAACTGGGCTTCATGAAAAGTGACTTTCTGTTTTCTGCACAAGTTGCAGCCTTACTGGCCCCTCTGGCCACTGCTCCATGGCCAAGTGACCAAGATCTCCTTCAAGGGGCTGTGGGATGCAGCAGCCAGAAAATTGCCTACATACTTACATTTAAGCTGTATCCGTGGTCTCCTCTAGAATCTTGGGTGTTGATACGGAAAGAAAGCTGCGTTCCTCGCGTCAGAATTATTTAAATTCTTGTCCTTAGAATTTTGTATATGCCACTTCTTTCTTCGAACGTGTTCCTTCTTTTAAATGGGGGGGGGGCTGTTAGCCATTCCTGGTGTGTTCCCCTTCTGTCCAGGCTCCCATATTTTCTTTTTAACTCTTGAAAACTGAATTTCATCAGACCAGTAAGCGAATTTTAATTGCAACTTCATCACAAAAACAAGGAAATTAATACTGCGACGTTTCCGATGAACCTGTTGCCTCCTCTTCAGAGTAGAAAAGAATCAACATTGGTTCGCTCAGGGTCCAGTTCCCGGGTTTTCCTCTCCCCATATCAGTGCAGCACGCTCCTCCCCTCTTGGCTGATAGAGAGTTGTAAGAAACCCAGAGTCATGAGACATTGAAATGTGATGATGGATTCGGAACCAAGCATGACTGGGCTGGCGAGTGCCAGCAACAATTTACCCGCACCGATCCGAGCCTCTTGACTTGCTTCTCTATCCTGAAGACGGAGGCAACAGATTTCTTCGAAACGTTGATAACGATCTCTCATGGTGCTTGGGGTTAGAGTGCAGGACACCCGAGAGATTGTGGCCCTGCCTGGGCCGTGACCGTTAATCGATCCTATGCTGGTTCTCGATAATTGAGTATCGATTGCAGTGCAAGAATATTCTGACCTGGCCGCGAAATTCAATTCATAGCGTTCTGTTGCTCACGTCTCGTCAATAAGTTGGCAGCCTCTGTAGGGTGCCTCACAAGCAACTGCTTGTTGCCGAACAGCGCAGGTTGATAGATACGCAGCATATTCTGTCTAGGGAAAAGTTATGGTGGTTTTCCTCAGTTCCTCAAGCCAGATGTCGGAACATACCTCTAATTAGTCTACTACCCGTCCCTTCAAAATCATTTCCATTACCCTACTTTAAGTACAGTCACCATAAACAGACTAGTCACTATATGTACCGTCTGCTTTAACGTTAAAACATTAAGCAGTTCGCCCACACAATGCATCTTTGTGTTTCGTGTAATTCCCGTGACAAATGCCTACTATTTCTCTAAACGGCATTGCCGGCTGGCTTTTGTTATGACGAGGCAGTGTGTTTCCTGCGAGGTACATTGTTTAAATGAACCCGTTTGCCAATATTCACGAACAATAAACACACGCTGAGCACATATTTGCGGCACACGCAGTCACCCTACACGCCTGTCTTGCGGTCGCGTCTCGACGTCATGGGTAGAGTCGACTTCGTTGAGGGGTGTGATGGTTCTGGTTCGATAGACGTGAACTTCGTCCCTGTCAGTTTTCATACGGAACCATACAAAAATTAAGGAGTTATTGATGAATGTTTGGGTTTCCTAGCGAGGGAATGTCAGGTTTCAGAGAGTACAACAAAATCACTGTGTTCAGCAAATCCCGTACTCCTTCGGTGAGCTACAAGCCTAGCAGACTTGTTATGCTCTCCTTCAAACTGCATGAAATTCACTAGGAATGGGTCCCCATATTGTGGGCCCACTTCGTTACGTATGGGCTCACCGTATAACAGTTCTACCTTCTGTGATATACCGCCGTGCGCTCCGCTGAAAGTCAGCCCACATTTGAAGATGGGCGCGATGTATTCCTCCGAAACGTCATCTGACTACACGACGTTATATCGCAGAAGACAGTAATACTCTTCATAACCACTGCTGGGAGGATCTCGAACCTACAGAGGCACACGACTTAACACGTAGAGCTCACTGAAATTCTCAATTTCTATTTAATCCCTTTAAAGTGCAGTGGTTAGAGGCGGGATAGCGACTGGCTACGGGCTGGACGGCCGAGGGGTCCGAATTCGAGTCCCGGTATCGTCAAGAATTATCTCTTCTCCACGTTGTCCAGACCGGCTGTGGGATCCACCCAACATCCTATCCAACGGGTACCGGGGGCTCTTTCCCCAGGGTTAAAGCGACCGGGGCGTGAAGCTGAGCACTAACCTCCAGCTAGTGCTCAGGCCAAGAAAATGTCGATCTATACATCCACTCCCACAGCATTAACCGGTCGGGCTTCACTAAGGAGAGGCAGCGTTCTCTGTGAGGTACGACCTGCAGGTTTGCATGCAGTTTAGTGGTGTTGAGTAGGCAACCGAGCGCTGCACGCAGCTCACTGGATCGTCACGTACCTGTACGTGATGAAGGCGAACACGAGCCCGACGAGGGAGACGCTACTGCCCAGCACCACGACAAGTGACAGGACGCCTTCCTGCGTCATCTGCTCTCCAGATACCCCACCGGTCAGCAAACCCCGAACCGTGAGGTTCGGGAACCCGTGGACCCGCGCTGTGTAGAACTCCATGCTGAGGCGCTGCAGTCACTCTCTGGAACACAGCACGCACAGCGGCTGAGAAGGGCTAAGTGAGAGACACAAAGCACGTCATTTTGTTGGGAGGTTCCCAGGATTCGCCAGCTCCTCCTAGCGATAAGAACAGGCGAAAATGAAGACGTCAGTGGCTTGAGACAGGGACCGCGGGATTTTGATTTTCTTAATTATTTTCAAATCACATAATTTGATGGCCTCTACAAAAAGGGAGGTTTACATTTCGGTGAGATCTGCATGAGAAGCCCGCCTTAGTAATTTGGGAGTTGGGAGCAACTGTAGCATTCGGTCTGTCCGTTAATGGCCCTTGTCAGCACAGTCATTCTTGGCTTCAGGTCTCTACGAGATCTATATCGAAGATTCTTTTCCCTCCCTTAGAGATACATGTTTAGAAATGGGGGTCGGTCTTTCCGTGTAGGGGCAACGTTTGTTGCGCCTGTTCGCAGTTCAACTGCCGCTGGTCTCCGCCAGCACAGTGATTCTGGGTACCGAGTGCAATGAGTTCCACAGGACTCACGACCATGTTTCACTGTCTGACTCACTTATAGTATTATTCGTCCAAATAACTTTAAGGAATACAGTTCTAACCGTATATGAAACACAATGTGGCTCTGTTAAAAAGACCGAGTAAAGTGACGGAGCACGGGCTGCACTGCCGTGTTCGATCCTCGACGGGGCACAAGAAGTTTCTCCTCCGTTTTCAGACTGACTGTGGAGCCTACATATCAGGAGATGTGGCCGAAGTGTGAAGCTGACGTTTCGCCTGTATCAGAGAGTGGATTTTGTTACGTTTCTTCCTGTTTGTGATTTGAGCCACAGACGAGTCATCCTGCTCCGTGTCTCGGCTCCCGGACTGACACTCGCGTACATGGTTTGTGCTGAAATATCCTGTCTTGTGTTGGTGCGCGTGTCCCGGAGACAGGGACTAGCTCTATCGATTACGCTCAACTGAGCGGGTTCCACCTGAATACGGAGACAGAATCCAATCTCCGTAACGCTGTGTGTTTTTGAATACATAAGAACAGGGCGTTGGATGCTTCCCAGAAACACAATAACCGGTTAATTTCTCCATATGATTGCCATTTAGCGACATCGAGAGGAAAACTACCACCTGCAGGGGTGAATGTTCCACTTCCGCCCCTCTACTGCGTCCAGTACGTTATTCTCAGTTAGTGACGTATGGCGTTACATCATCAGTACAAGTATTCTGTACATGCTTGAGGTATGCGTACTTCCGTAAGGGGCGCTGGGAACGCAGATGCACTTCATCTCCTTTATCAAGAAATGGACAGCGTCCTTGAGCCGGAATTGTATTAGGATGTGGCTGAGCCGCCACTGAGGATAAAAGCGAGACTGCAAAGCTGCAACCCGCATCGCGTTTGGATGCTGCTGGCTGTTGCTAATGGCTTCGCAGTATCAAAGTGCCCATGTGATGGCGCACTGACTGCTTCATGGGACGGGCGTTTCTTATCATGTCAAGGCACGGGAACCTGGCTCTGGTGCTCACCCAGCCTCCTCTCAAATGGGTACGGGGGTAAAGCGGCTGGGTCGTGAAGCTGACTACACACATGCAACTTAATCCCCCATACACCTTCATAATGCAGTGTTTAAGTTAAGCGCAGGATAACTTTAATAGAATGATAACATTAACCTTGTTTTTCTCACAACTACACGTTTCGGTTTATTCATCATCTTCAGGTGGAACTGATATACCGCCATGTAGTTCGTTGAAAGTCAACCGGCGTTTCTGAGGAATATATCGCCTCCATCTTCAAGGTCTATGAATAAAACCAGCGTGAAAACAGGTGCCGCTGCTTGCCATCTCTGTTCACGCTGGCTTATAAATTTGCTTACTCATCAACCCTGAATATCGAAACGACATATTACTCCGAAACTTAGGTTGACTTTCAGCGGACTACAACGCATTATATCCCAGAGGACAGAACTGTTCGTAAACACCACCGGCAGAAATATCTTCAGGCGATTCTATGAATACTGTACATACATACATAGTTGTTAGGCTATCCAGCAATGCCTGCAGATATATTAGTATCTGATAAGCGGACATTTGTAGAAGACACATTTTAATTTTGAAATAAATCAGTTTGATAAATGTGCATCTGTTCATAGAACCACCTGATAGACTGAAACATGTCACAAGATTAATACATAAATAAGTTAAGTAAGTAGAGGCCGCGCCACAGCTCAAGCGGTTAGTCGCTGGCTTCCCACCGCGGCGGCCCGGGTTCGATCCCAAGTCTGGTCAAGTGGGATTTGTGGTGGACAAAGTGGCGTGGGGGCAGGTTTCCTCCGAGTATTTCGGTTTCCCCTGCCAATCTTCATTCCACCAATTGCTCCACAATCACCCTCACCTATCATCTGGGGCTGGTACAATAGGCCAGAAGTGGCCGCAGTACAAGGGACTTAGTCCCACCCCACTGGCAATAAAAAAGGTGAGTAAAGTAAAGGTATCGCCGTAACAGGCCGTGGAGGCCCATAGGGTTGTGAGACGTTGAGGTTCCCACATTTTCTAGACAATCGGCTCATAGATGGCAGCAAGGCTGTCAGCCTTACGCGCCGGCCGCCCTTTACCCCCAAGAACATTCCAAAAAAATTCCTGATACTCATTTCTGTTAGAGGCTGATTCGATCCCGCGACCTTCCGGCTTGTAGCACAGTGCCTCAGCGAACTACGCTACCGCGTGCACCCAAGATGAAACTTGTCAACTTCATATCCAATTGCATTTCCTTCCATGCGTACAACAGGAGGAAGCTCCTTACCGTAATTACACAAAGAGCATTCAATTGAAACTTTATGTTAAGCGAAAGCGCATTTCATTAGTCCCCTAGAGCATGGAGCTAGCGAAAATCGATATGAAACCCGACAGCCTTCTGCAGGATATCTAATGTCAAATGCAATCAGAATCCATCCAGCTCCTCAAGAGTTGGGTCATAAGCACTGAGAAGACGGGCGCCATCTTTCTCTCTTACAAAGAAAGCTTAAGGGCTGGTTACCCCAGCGGTAGCAAATCCGACAGTTTTCGCAGAGACTTTCCGTGTGTTTCCTCAGTGACATATTCTGGGATATTTTGCCAGACGAGTCACAGTGGTAAGTTTCGAATTTCTCTCGGTTTGCTGTGCATGGACACCATCAGATGCGGTCTAATGGCGGTCACCCTCCACCAATTCTCTTTGTATGATTAGGGTATAAGCTTCGAACTTTTGTGGTCGGCTGTTGCATTCCTGCTTCTGATACGAACGCACTTCGCGACCCCTACCGCGTGCACACAAGAGGGAGACAGTGATTAACAAGTTAGGAAATGCACACATCTCTTTAGGAATCCTTGCGCCTTCACACACAACAGTTTGTCGTAGAAATCGAGAATCTTACGGCAGAAAATTCTTTGGACGTTTTAATTTGTCGAAACATTTCTGGGCCCGTTAATTGATCAGCAAGTTCAGAATCGCGTGTACCTCCTCATGTAGAGCACGCGTTTCTGCTCTGCGATATTTGCAAGAACTGCTGGAGTGAATGCCGAATTTTAGTGCAATCCCGTAAGATCAGGCTTTATGAAACCCCTTGTAGTTGGATGACGAACAGACAGACATGACGAAGGAAATAGGCGCTTTTCTTAAACTTTCGTGTGCAGAAGAATCAGAGGCACCCAAACACCGCTTTGAAGTACTTACACAGTGTGATGATCCGTTGTTCCCATGTCAGCGTCGCGACGCTTGGCGTCTGGACCTGGAGTAGCAGCAACAACGCGCGGACTGGTCTGCCGTCCGCCGCTCATCCGCTTTTATACCGCCCGGGGCGCATGCCTAATGCCCGTCCAGCATACTCACGTTTATGATCTGCTCTGAGCTGCCTGTAGAAGGGTCGGCAGCATTGCCAGAAGTGACACATCCTGTGCGGGCGGGCCCTGCTGCAGTGTTTACTAATTAAAGTAAAAGTATCCCCGTAACAGACCATGGAGGCCCATAGGGTTGTGAGATGTTGAGGTTCCCACATTTTTTCTCTAAACAACTGGCTCATAGATGGAGGTAAGGTTGTCAGCATTACGCGCCGGCCGCCCTATACCCCCAAGAACATTCCTGGTACTCATTTCTGTTAGAGGCTGAGTCGACCCCAGGGCCATAGTGCGGCTGGAAGGATTAGGTCAATTAAAATCCAATGACCTCATCGGGAATTGAACCCGCGACCTTCCGGCTTGTAGCATAGTGTCTCAACCAACTACGCTACCGCGTGCCCCTGCAGCGTTTACTAATGGAAAACAATTTTCTATCGCATATGGAGATCCTAGCTTGAAGCTATAAATTATCGTTTGTTTCTTAACAACGGAGTGTCCGATCACGCTGGCTCCAGCGGTAACGTTTCCGAGTTGTATCGGTAAAGTGCCCGGTTGCAAACTCGGCCAGGACGCGGACTGGCCTCTAACTAAGTTTCTGATAATATTACCGTCAGCCCCTCCATGCAGCTGCAGAGATCAGACGGGTGCCGCCTTACTTCCGGTTCAGTATTCACGTCACTGCTTCCAGTGTGAGCACTGTTAAGTTATCCCATTAGTTATACCGTTCCCGCACCACTCGCTAAGTTGATCTATCGTCGTTAAATACGTTCCGAGCTTATCGAAACCGGCTCGACTGCCCAACGTCCCAGCAAGTTTTGGTGTAATTATCTGACGGACGCAGTTGACAAATTGCCCAAGTAAGAGGCAAATTCACATCGTCTTGGCGGTTTCTTTCCTCGCCCCCCCCTCCCTCCTGTACCAACTTGCAGGAAGTTGAGAAGTTCCCAGCTAGTCCACAAGTCCGCCGCCAGAGGCGTGGCAGATGTAACACTGTACTATAAAGTGGCTTTTAGCAGACAGCAGAGTTTCAAGTGGGGGCTCCTCCCCGCCCCCGGCCACTTGTCGTCTTTTATTGCTTTCCTTAATGAAAGGAATCCATGCTGCATCAACTGTCCCTGTATCCAGTTCTACCCTGAAGATGGAAGCAATACGCTCCTCTGTCTCAACCTATACATCAGGCCACCGGACAGGACGTCCTACTCATTAAGCTGTAGGCTTGATTTCGGGAGGTGTTGGGTTCGAATCTCGGCCAGGTCACGCCGCATGCCCCGATAAAGGATCTTCATAATTTTCGCCATTAGGCAAATTGCGGGAGAGTACTTCGATTGGCTCACGGCTGGTTCCTGCCGAATCCTTTCCAGTTCATTCACCAATCCTACCATTTCACGTTATGTACGCAGTTTGAGGCACTGACTGCACAGTGAAATAGCGCATCCCTCCAGACCGTAATCTTGTGAGCATTGCTGTTTTGTCCAAAATTTAAAATAATGTCAGTTGATTGCCTGACTGTAGACGGGGTTTGGAATGGTAAGCGAATTTACAGAACGTAACTGCAAATAACTACGACAGTCTCACTCCGTTACACACTCCACAGATCACTGCAACTGCAGCACACATAAACTCTTCTCAGTCTTCACTAGTCGTTGCTTGGTAGCGGTTTTAAAGGCGGGCGTTCCCCTTCCTCTGGCTTCCCGAACTCTCTCGAGACTCAGGTACCAGCTTCTCGCTTCTCGCAACTGCAACTCTCAACTGACTCAACCAACCACTCAAGTCAAAGTTACTTTTACGTCAGGCGTCAAGTCCCTTGAGACCCACGACCAGAGTTTTTTTTTTCTTTACTGAACCCTTGCGGTACTAGTCCTTATGTCTGTCATGAGAAGATGGGTTTGTACGTGTCTCTTCTGATCAAGTGTACGTATTGAACATACAGAATTCTGAAAATTTTTCCTTTTGCACTATACGAAAGTCCGCTGTCAGCACAGATTTTGTAAAGCAGATAATGCCTATCTTATGCTATAATGGCAGCTTAATAACTTGAACAGTCATAAGCTTCACCACCGCCAACTTTATAACCAACCACTGAAGTCAAAATCGAGGTCACATTGCGACTGACGGTCAGTCAGTAGGTCTTGGTGTCGAGCCCATCTGGAGCTCATGACCAGATATTTATTACTGTTTGACAGATACGGTCTTGTTTCTGTGAGGCGCCCTCTCTGACGAGAGGACGGGGCTGTCTTTTGTATATGCTGCTGGTCCTTGCCAGCATAGTCTTTCTCGAGTTCGGGTCCCGTGGGACTCGCGACCATGTTTTACTCTCTCAGATTCGAGAGTTCCCTTTTCGTTGCCTCCTACGACTCGCAGGGTCACGGTGGAGGTATTGGACTCCACCTCCACACGGGTGTAACCAACCACTGAACTAGTAGTCCTCGTTATATAGCTCCGGCACGGATCTCACAGAAAACGTCTCTTCCATTATTGCGTTTTCACTTGTCGGAGAAACAACATGTCCCCACGCCGTTCCCTAGCAACGGCTGTTGTAGTGTCGCCTCTTTACACGGCTGTTACTTGGCAGTGGCTCTGCATGTCACAATAGCCACATGGTATTGTTGCACGTTTCACGAATGTGTTGTTCTGTTTAATGACCAAGCGCAGGCAACGAAGCAATAGACACGTATTACACGGCGCAGGCGCTGGGGAAGTCGGTGGACCTTATTGGATACTGCATCCTGCAGCGAACCTTGCCTTCTTTTGGAGGTATGGCTCCAGTCTTTCTTAACTTTCTGGCTCACGGCCACGCTGTTAGTCGCAGGCTTCCCACCACGGCGGCCCGGATTCGAACCCAGGTAAGGTCGTGTGGGATTTATGGTGGACAAAGTGGCCCTGGGGCAGGTTTTCGTGTACTTCTGTTTCCCCTGCCAGTTCTCATTCCACTGACTGCTCCACACTCAAAATCCATCATCCGGAGCTGGTACAATAGGCCAGATATACCCGGGCACATCTAGACGCGGTGGCCAGGACAGAAATGTCTTCCTCTTCCAGAAATCTACCCCCGATTCCCAACTCGTCCAGCCTCTGCCCTAGTTACTATACTTTCTGAGCTATCCTGACTCTGTGCAGGCCTAATCACAAGTCTCTCCCCGTCTGACGTCCATGTAGTTCCTTTAGCAAAGTAAAAGAAGTAAAAGTTACCTTCTGCAGTAAAGAACGCCTGCCTGTCTGATATATGAAAATGTCCGGTATTGGGTCGGTTATTTAACGTGCGGTTGCTGTGTTGTGTCATATCGAGTTGGCCCCCCCCCCCCCGCCCAGGCGTCTGTCCGTATTTTCACAGTGACCAGTGGTCACACGACGGGGTAACTGTCCCAAGGGACAAGTATGACTGCACACAGTCTGGAAGCTGCACGTTCCCTGCTCACCGCTCTGTCGGCTGCATTCTTATGCGCCTCTCGCACAAAACACATAAAGTGTACGCATGATACGGAGGTTTCGTTCCAGAGAAACTGCTGTAGGGATTTCCATATAAAATTCGGTATTTGGGAAGGATCAGGCGGACTAAGCTGTGGCTAATAACGGGTCTCCTCAGTCAGGTTCGAGCCCGGGACCTGGAAAATATGAATCAGGAGTGAACGTTTGTGACATGCATCCTTACGTTATGACAGCCCAGCACGTGACAGAGACGTTGGTCTCCGTCGAATACCTATAACTTTGAGAACTACTCTCTCTTTGGATATGACACCGTGTATTGTGGTAGATTATTGCTAACGTTCCATAGGCACCTTCTGCCTCCATCTTCAGGGAAAATTTTTGAAGTAGAATGTTCCTTCGAAGCAGCGGTATCTGTGTAGCACGGTAGGTGTCACATCTGCATGCAGTCCCGAGTCTCAACACAGAGCGAAAGTAGCTCCCTGCTCTGGTTGTGTCAGTTGCGCGGGGTAAGGGTAGACGCGCATTTACCCCAAGTCGAGAACAGGGTAAAGCTACTCATTTCCGTGGTGCGGTGATCTGAATTCGCAGCTCAATCAGGCTAACGCGCCTTCATAGATGTCTTCCAGTGCCATTGGTTCATTGCCTCCTGTACGGTTTCGTGTTTCGTTACTGTCACAAGAACAGTCAGCTGAGTGGAGGGGGGGTCTTTATTATTATTATACTGCAATTTGGTGTTCACCCGGTGGCAGTAGGTCTTATACTGATACAGACAAGGAGAAACTATACATAAAGGGAAAAATACAATAAACAAGGTACACACAGTGCAAATCCAACATATAAAGTCACACAAGGCACATGACTGTTGTCTCGGGTGTACCGCCATGTAGTTCGGAGGCAGTTAGACGCTTCGGAGGAGCACACTGCGTTCATCTTCAAGATCGAAGAATAAGTCAAGCAAGATATGAGCAGAAGCTCGCAGTAAAAGTAGTTGAGCTTTGGTTATTCTTCGATCGTGAAGATTGAAGCGATATGTTCCATCGAAACGTCGCTTTACATCCGTACTGTTCATAGCAGCTGCCGACCCGACACAGTTTTCGTTGTAGCACACGGTTTTATTGTAAACCATTGACGTCACGTGACGTATCGCTAATCTTACGGCTTTCGCCCGTAATCGCACGCTTACAAAATAAATTAAAACGAAATCGATTTAGCAGGCACATGCAGGAGTGGAGCCTGACCTGGTGGCCGGACTGCTAAGCGAGGCAGCCGCTCGGGTTCCGTGCCCAGAGAGCAGAAAGTGAGCGCGTCCGTCCGTCCGTCCGTCTGGTTGGCTGTTCAGCAAACAAATTCTTTCCTGGCGCTGCTTTACACGCGGCTCCACGTCGAGAGTCTCTTTGTAATGGAGTGCTCTTGCTCATTTACTGCTACAAGGTAAACTCATGGAGGCCCATAGAGTTGTGAGACGTCGAGGCTCTCACATTTTCTAGACAATCGGTTC